CTGCTTCCCTGTAGCCCCTTCAGATCCTGGAAGGTGCTCTGAGGTCTCCACACAACCTTCTCTTCTCCAGGCTGAACAGCTCCAACTTTCTCAGCCTATCTCCACAGAGGAGATGCTCCAGTCCTCCTAGGAACTTCGTGGCCTCCTCTGGACTTGCTCTAACAGTTTCATGTCCTTCTTATATTGAGGACACCACAACTGCACACAGCATTCCAGGTGAGCTATCACAAGAGCAGAAGGTGGATGTCCAAGAAGGGACTGATAAGCCTGCCTGTGCAGACACTGGACAGAATGGGAGATGTTTCTGGAGTGTGTTCTATCCCTCCAACTCTGCCATCCAAACAAGCAGTGGCACCAGACAAGAACTGCATGATGATAGCCACTGACGAAACATTTCTAAGCTGTGGCTGAAACACAACTTGATCTAGTAGGTTTTTAGGATCCTTCTTTTGATATCCTACCCCAGAACTCTGTGCCACTTGAAAACCCAGGCAGTATGAATGAGTGCCTTTAATACTAATCATCTAGATTGCATGTGAGAATTTGAAAGAGCAATGAATCTCACCAATTCTTCCCTCAAGTTTCCTAATGTTTCCATCTGGTTTGAGCGAGCACTTAGCATACTTGAGAGCTTCTCCATCAGAAGATCATATTTGCTTCTCCTAACCAAGAAAAGAAAACCATTTTACACACAAGTATGCACAGAACTTTATAAACATGAGTTTTATCTTTATAGTCACTACAGAAAGTATGCTAAGTGTTCTCTGATTGGCTTAGGAATTCTAGTTTGCTTTTCCTTCTGTGAATGGCACTAGAGAATTTGTCACTTAAGAGAACTCAATTGAGGAAACAGTGACTAAGCCCAAGCTGTTATTTCATTACCACAGAAGCACAAGTTCTAATCATAAACAAGAGAAGAAAACAAACCAAAAATCTATTAGAAACGTGCTTGAAGTGAAAACACTCAAAATTAAGAGACTGATTAGTGCTACAATAAGAAATTAGGCTTAGGTAAGCAGGTGACAGGCACTAGAATACCCTACTTAGAGCTCCAAGACATGTTAGTCTTCAACTGCCTGGCACTCAGGAGAGAAGTTAATAAAGAAATTGAAAAGAGTCAATAACAGGAAACTTTGATGGTTCTTGTGACAAGAGAACAATCTCTCATCATGGTTAAAGGTCACAGTGCACCCAGGAGACCTTTAAAACATACCTGTCAACATGGAAGCGAGGCAGGAGCAGCAGGATGGAGTGTTGCTGAGCTCCACTCGGCAGCCGAATGACGTGGGACTGCATTGTTATGAGACCATTTCTGTCCAAGACTCTGCGGTGATAATGGATTTTTCCAGCATCGACTCTGAAGAAAAGATGGCAAAATAGCTGCAGGCACAGGAACTTCTGCATTCTAATTATCCAGTATCCCAGAACACTTTTCCTAAATTACCAGTGATCGTAGCGACACATGTCAAAAGTGACAAAGTGCCAAAATTAAGAAAACCTGTGAAAATGTTCATATTTGATCCGCTTAAACAGAGAGAAATACCTGATTTTAACCTACAGTTTTAATGCACAATCATAGTGTCATGCCATGGGTTGATGGGAGAGTTGAATCAGTATTGCACACCCATACCCTCCTTCTCCATCCTCTCTATCTTCTGGCTACACCACAATCACTATCCTCTTGTATTCTCCTCCTCACCCCTTGGAGAGCTGACTCAGGCCACCAAACTGACAGAAAAGTATCCACAAAAGATTTACCCTCTGCCCCATCATCTTAGTCACCTAAAAGAGTGAAAAGTGGAAAAAAACCAACACCAGGTGGTTTGCAAGCTACAACTCATTCACCTCCTAAAAAGAGTGAATCCTTCAAGCAATGCTAATATACTTCAGCACTGCAAAACAAGCCAAGAAGTTCTCTACAAGGCTGTGTAATGCTCCTCCATCAACAAAATACATGGTCTGGTTTGGGAGCTGCTAACTCAGGCTCCCAGTCCTACATAGAAAGGTGTCACAAAGGAAATGCTGGGGACAAAGGGACAAAAGGCATCCAAGGACCTCTTTAGAACTTGGGCAGGATAAGATGCTCACTCAGCAGGTCAGAAAAAGTGAAAATCATTGTTCCATCCCAAATTTGAAGAAAAAGTTTTTTAGAGAAGCAAGAACTTCCACAAATTAGAAACCTGTGTACTGGCCAAACAGACAATCTCTGGTTCCAGGAGAAAATGTGAGGAAGCATAATGAACTCAGGGATGAGACCAGTACAGTTCTAGCAAGTTCTACCAAGAACCAAGTACTCCTGGTCGTAAGGAGAAGACAACACCAGTACAGACATGAGTTTAAATCAATACAAATAATCAGTGGAAACTTGTTAGCTTTGATTTAATTCACAGAACTAGATACAAACTTACTTGAAAGCTCCACTGTGAAGGTCCCTCTGAAGCTCTCCTTGCCACCGAGCACGGCCCAAACGCTCCAAGATACAGTAGGAGAAGTCAGGGAGTTTTAAGTCAGGGTCTCCCTCCCAGCCTATTAAAGCTCTGTAACGCTGGTCTTGGGAAGCAACAATGACTAGTTTCTCTCCCCATCTACGAAACAGAAGGAAAAGTAATGTGTCATTATTAGTTCCTTAAAAACAGAGAGATCAATCCCTCTCCCCCCAAACACCATTCTCAATACAATCCGTAGAAGCTGAGCAAGGACTACAATTTAAAACTTAAGCCAGAAGTATTTTAATGCCAGATATAAGGATATCACTCACTTTTCAACAGCTTCTTTGTAAGTATAACAAGGCTGCAAATCCTTCGTCCTGATTTGATCAGTGATATCTACTCTCTCTTTAAAATACTGACAGGAACCTTGTATGCCATCTTTGTTATCCAAAACCATGTGGACAGGATAAATGTCATCTGAAGAAACAGAATTTCTTTTGGTTTCCAGTATTCCTGTTTCAAGGTCTATTTCTTCATATCTGAAAGAAGAGCAGAGAGCCAACATTTAACCAAGCAAGTTGAAACACAAGATCCTCACAAACAATGCTGATAACTCTGTGACATGTCTTGGAAAGAATGAAACTATTTTGAAACCTCAGCATTGGAAAAAACATGAAGAGCAGAGCTGCACTCCTCAAGTACAACCAAACTTATCAACACGCAGTGCTGGAGGAGGTGGGAGGAGGGGGATACATGATTTAATCTTCAAAAACTCAGGGACATTGAAGTGGTTGGAATAACAGAGCCATATGAGTTCTAGTTCACAGAACTAGAACCATACCAGCTCACAGATAAGGAAAACAACAGAGCTATATGAGCTGTAGTTCATAGAACTAGAACCATACCAGCTCACAGATAAGGAAAACAACAGAGCTATATAAGTTGTAGTTCATAGAACCAGAACCATACTAGCCCACAGATAAGGAAAACAACAGAGCTATATGAGTTCTAGTTCATAGAACTAGAACCGTACCAGCTCACAGATAAGGAAAACAACAGCTCCATCCACCTTGATGAGCCAGGAAATATAACCTCCACCTGTACTAAAGTGTCAACCAGTTATGTGAAAGGAAACCTAGTCAGGACTCATTTATCTCCTAACCAGCAGCTTCAGGGCCGCGCTGCGCCCTGCCTGTTCCCACAACCGTGGCCGCAGCAAAGCCTGAGCGCGCAGCGGCGGCGACACAGCCC